GAGTTCAATCCTTGAGGGGGACACTTAGGGATCTGAGGCAAAAATCAGTACTTGGTCCTGCTAGTGAAGGCAGGGGGCTGGACTCGATGACCTTTCAAGGTCCCTTCCAGTTCTAGGAGATGGGATATCTCCATTAATTATTATTATTTATTATTATATTATCTGATCTCGCCCTAGCCTGCAAGATGCACCCAACACATTAATGCTAATGCATTTCATCTGGCCAGCTCCTCCACCCCAAACTCTACCAGCCGTGGTTTCTGCTCTCTGAAATCTGTTTACAAAAATGAAACTTCCTAAATTGTCTTGTCCTCTTCTAGTACAAAGTCTGCACAAACAGCAGCAGCCCCCATGCCGGACTCTTTCCAAATAACAACGAAACCTTGGAAGTGGATATCTACAAAGGGGTGAGTGGCTTTATAGTGAGGTCAGGCAGGGTGGTCTTATCTGAATGATCCCCTTAACATCCTTGCCTGAGTTATATGCAGGCCTGAATAAATGGAGACTATTCAAGGCTTGAACCTATAAGACTATAAGAGCTGTCCTGTTGGAACAGAACAGCGCTCCTTCCTGTCTAGGCCCGTGGTCAGTCTGGCGGAGCAGCTGGCTCCAAGAACTCTTCTTTTGACTGAGCATTTAAATCTAGGATTTAACACCTCGTGACTGGAAACCTTCTGTGTTTCAGGGGGTTGTTCTGGGATGCTACTTTGGGCCTGCTGCCCTTTACATCTGGGCAGTTGGGATTCTTGCTGCAGGTCAGAGTTCAACAATGACTGGGACCTACTCTGGGCAGTTTGTCATGGAGGTATGTGACTCTACAGCTGTGCCGGCTTATGGCTGTGTTTCCCCCCCCCTTCTCCTTGTAATCCCCTGAAGTTGAGATGGTCAGTGGAGGCCTAGTTTCCTTTCCTGGTCATGTAGTTTGCTGAAGGATCAGACTTTCCTGCTATTGACCCATGTACCAGACTCTTAGGTCCCCGATTCCCTTTGGAAAAGTCCAGCCTAACTCAGGTTTCTTTAAGAGAAAAAAACTCACCCTGTAGTAGATCATTCCCCTTCCCCCTGTTGCAGTTTAACTCTGTGGAATGTTGCTTTGTTGCAACAGCAGCTCTTCCGTTTCTCTCCCCGAAGGGATTCCTCAACCTGAAGTGGTCGCGTTTTGCTCGAGTGATTTTGACCCGCTCCATTGCCATCACTCCAACTCTGCTGGTTGCCATTTTTCAAGACGTTGAACACCTGACTGGGATGAATGACTTCTTGAACGTTCTTCAGAGCTTACAGGTGAGCAGCTGTGCACTCACAGCACGGGACTATTCCTTGGAGAGTCATGTCTAAGCATTAGCTATTAGTAACTCCTCATTCCGAACCAACCTCTTAGTCACTACTAGTGTTGGCTTTAGGGCCTTCTGTTGGCCCACTTATGAACATTTCTGTAAGCTGGTTGGCTGAGGGGTCCTGAGTGCAGAGAGCTCAAGTATGGAGGGGGGCGGGAGGGACCTGTAAATGGCAGCAGCTGCCATCAGAATTGGGTTTTCCAGCAGCAGTGAATTTAGGATCTGCCCCTGATCTGTAGATGCTTGTGGACTGTGGCCAACATTGGTTATAGCAGTGGTTCTCAACCAGGGGTCCGGGGCCCCCTAGGGGGCTATGAGCAGATTTCAGGGGGTCCGCAAAGCATGGCCAGCGTTAGACTCGCTAGGGGCCCAGGGCAGAAAGCCGAAGTCCTGCTGCATGGGACTGCAGCCTGGGGCACCAAGCCCCACCACCTGGGGTTGAAGCCAAAGTCTGAGCAACTTAGCTTCCGAGTGCCCCCTGTGGCGTGGGGCCCTGGGCAATGGCCCTGCTTGCTACCCCCTAACACCGGCCCTGGCTTTTATATGCAGAAAAACAATTGTTGTGGCACATGGAGTTTCTATAGCATGGTGGGAGGGCCTCAGAAAGCAAAAGGTTGAGAACCCCTGCGTTCTAGAACAGATAAGTTACTTCTAGGCTCTTATATGCCTCTTACTGAATTATTTGAGCACCACTTGAATATTTACAAAGAGCAAGAACCATATTTAAACAGGGTTACATTTATACCTCGTTATTTTTTATGACTTTTAAATGTAAATAAGTTTCCTGGCTGGTCCAGTTCTCCTCGAGTTTCCAGCTCTGCAACGACCTAGATATGTATTTATGGTGCCTTGTTCCTGTTGTAAAATGAGGAATGGGAACTGCCAAATTAAGGGCTCAGAGTAGAAGAACTTCAGCTTCCGATGGTTCTTGTCTGAAACTTGCTCCTCGCACTCCAGAGTGATACAGCCCATATCCCAGCATAGAAAATAACTCCTAGTTCAGCTGGACTACAGAGAGAGGAGGAAAAGTACTGTGGGGTCTTGCTTCTATAAACACTTCTGGATTCTTTCACTGAAGAATCTCTCGGTTGAGGGGAGGTGGGAAAGCACCAGCTGTGGCTTTAAACTGTTTCCTATTCCTAGCCATGAGAGATCTTAGATGACACACTTTCAAAAGCTAAAGGGAAAAGTTTGTGTGTG